CTAATTTTCTTGAAATTATACTTAAGTTATATACAAAAGTATGGTATCTACTTAAATGTCTATATATATTGTGTTCCAAAATAATTTAAAATTCCCCAAAATTTATAATAAAATACTTATCAGTCATATAATAAGTTATTATGTTAAACTAATATCTAGCCAAATTTCTTTGTCAAATTTTTGTCAAAACATTAACTATGACTGTAATTCTCATGTCATGTCTGTGAAAAAAATTCACAAAAAATAGTACTCTTACAAACACCAGTTTCTAGGGACCAGCAGTTGGCGTAATGGTTATGTCGCTGGATTCCCATGTAGACGACTGTGGTTCAAGTCCTGGACCTGGTGGCTTAAATTCACACCGGGTGCATGTGCATGCGTGCCCAAGATCCCAAGAGGAGATTGGAGGAGAGGGGATTGCAGCATGGCCATCCCCCCTGGGGGGTGATTTCTCACTTTCTGTCTGTGTCTCTGGCAAGCACACACACCCTATAGCAAAACCTCTCCAAAAAAAATAAATAAATAAACAAATACCAGTTTCTAAAAATCTAATCATTTAACTAAATAAAATTTTATTTTTCTATATAAACTAATTAGTTTTCTAAACTGTTAAGCCAAAATTAACCCCCCAAAATTTTTATAAATGTTTGACAAAATTACATATTAAATAGCCAATACAATCACCTAAGTTATAAAAATAAAATATAAAAAATATAAAACTAGGGATCAGCAGTTAGTGTAATGGCTATGTTGCTGGACTCCCATGTAGTCGACCATGGTTCAAGTCCCGGACCCAGTGACTTAAACTCACGCCGACTCAGACCGGGTGCATGTGTGTGCATGCCCAAGATTCCAAGAGAAGAATGGAGGAGAAGAGATTGTGGCATGGCCATCCTCCCTGGGGGGGTGATTTCTCGCTTTCTTTCTCTCTCTTTCTCTCTCTGTCTATCTGGCGAGCTCACGTGCCCTATAGCAAAAAACTCTCCAAAAAAAAATAAAATAAAAAATAAAATAAAACTAATATTAAACATAGATTCATAAAGACATTGCTGCCTAGTTCTCTCTGGGTCCTCTTCATAATTCTTGTTATTAAGTTAACATACTTCAGTTATTCCTATTGTTGGTCTTTAAATTTTATAAAGTTTTAAAAGTCTATTAATAAAGATGTTCAGTTTTACATTTAAAAAGTTGTTAAAACAAGTTTTGTTATTGTTGTTTACACATGTTCCTAAACTCCCAGTTAATATATATAAATATACATCATTCTATTATTATAAACTTAATAACTCCTCCAAAAAATATCAAACTTTCCAAAATAAAAACACAAGCAATTAATAAAAAATGAGCCTATATATCAAAAACAAAAACTAAAAATTCTTATCCAAAAACTTAATGAAAGTCTCAAAAAATAAAATAAGACAGGGACCAGCAGTTAGTATAATGGCTATGTTGCTGGACTCTCATGTAGTCGACTGCGGTTCGAGTCCCGGCCTCAGTGGCTTAAACTCTCGCCACGAAATG